AGTTTGGTTTTGGGCATTCCCGTTCTGTGTTTACCGCAATTTACAGACCAACCAACAAATGCGAAGCTTTTAGAAGATGAATTCGAGACCGGGGTAAGGGCAATGGAGAATGATGAAGGAATAGTTGAAGGTGATGAGATCAAGAGGTGCATTGAATTGGTTATGGGAGATGGAAAGATTGGGGAAGAAATAAAGAAGAATTCTAAAAAATGGAAGTATTTGGCAAAGGAAGCTGTGAAGGAAGGTGGATCCTCTCACAAGAATCTTAGGACTTTTGTGGACGAGATTGATGATGGTTTTTAGTTGGATTAACATTTTCATCTTAACAGTTGTGTTTGTGTGTAAGATTTCATGTGTGATTCTATATATATATATTTTTTCTTCTTGTTGTCAGGAAATAAAAATTAATGTGTTTCTATATGGTATCACTTTTTTTCAAAAGGTTTTATAGTGCATTCAATAAAATTATTTGCTTAGTCTTCTCTGTTTTTTCCCTTCTTAATTTTCCCATTTTTTTATTTTTGGTTTGGTATGAGTTATTCAATTGGTGGGGGCTGATGTGGGTTTCTCCAAGTTTCAACTGCTCTACTTCTTTGTTGGTTGCATGGATTCAAATCAGAGTCAGCTAAATCAACAATTTTTTAGTGTTTTCAAATTCTGGAATTTGAGGAACTCATGCGAAATAGATAGCAGAAAAATTTAGTTAATTAGTAACCAAAAATAAAGAATATGAAACTCATCATTAAGAGGAAAAACAAACAGTATATATGATCCTGTAATGGGGACAAGAGGGGAAATTGAATATAACAAAATGGGAGTATCATCTAATTGAGGTATATGTGTGCAAGAAAAATAAGAAATTCAAACTTATCAACCAAACATTAATAGAAAGTTTTGACTGAAACATTTTGAAAAAGAAAAATAAATTCAAGCAATTCAACCAGTGAATCCTCATATTGAAACGTAAAATCAAGTTCAGAGTTCTTGGAAAAAAAACCTATATTTGATCACCTATGCTGACTTATTAACGAAGTATTCTATACAATATTACATGAGTGGGAATCCCGTGTGATTTGGGTTCCACGCCCGTATAGATGTTGTGTAGAATATTTAATATTTTTTTTTGGTATATACCCTTTTTGTTTAGTACGAAATGTTAAAAAAAAAATATATATATATATTTTATTTATATTCCATTGTTTCCTTGAATGTCTTAATGTTTGGATAATCAACTAATATATCCTAATAGTTAAACTTAATTGCTATCAAGTCCTACTAAATTTATCGCTAAAAATATTTTTTAATCGAATCCCACTTTGATCCCTCCACATAAAATCGTGATAGTTAACCTTTGCACTTCTGGCCAAGTGTCAATTTGCCCCTTCTGTTACTCCATTATTTAAGTTTTTAATAGAATCTAGTCATGTAACAAACATGTGACTATGAAATGAGGATAAGAGAGGAAAATCATTCTCATTTCCAAACAATATATATTTTGTCCTACATGATAAGTATGTGAGAGATATATAATACAATATGTGTGTGTATGTGTCTGTGTTCATATGCTGAAAATTAGAACAAAGAGGTAAGAAAGTCGAACTTTTGATATTAAATAACAAAAATAAAAATATATAAAAAAAAAGGTAGCAAAGAAATTGAAGAATTTGTTACTGTGGAAAACAAAATTTCATTATTCCAATTTTTGGAAAACCCTAATTTATTTCCTTAATCATTCACAATTTATGTTGTGTTTTAGTGGAATATCAAACCCTAATTGTCACGATTTCATATGTAAGGATCAAAGTGAGATTTGACCAAAAGTGTAGGGGACTATCACGATTTCGTGCGTAGATACCATAGTGAGATTTGGTGCAAAGTGTAGGAGTGCAATGTGTAATTTATCTATTTTTTTGTCATAATTTTTATAAATTGTCATTAAAACTTACAATTAGTGACAATTTCTGTGACGAATTTTTTAAACTGTCACTGAAAGTTGAAAATTGGTAAAAAAAATTGTGACGAATATTTTAAACTGTTGTTAAAACTTATAATTAGTGATATTTTTAAAAACAAACTTCAAACTGTCATTGAAAATTAACAATTACTGACGATTTTTAATAGTGTTCGATGAAAATGTCATTAATTATCATAATTTTTTTTAAACAATAAGTCTGCCTATTAAGACCTGCATGTAAGTGTCCTTAATGTTTGATAGTTGTGATGGTTACGGGGGCATGTTGATATGGTTTGAGAATTAATTTTTTAATTTTGTTACGAAAAATTGTATAGAAAGATAAATAAAATAATGTGATAATTTGAAATCAATTTTTAACTTGTATGTTAAAGTAACCAATCCAAACCGCGTTGGGTTTGACACCTAAAAAGAATATACCAACTTTGATTAGGAAAAATATATAAACACTACAACAAAGCGCACCTTTGGCGATCAAAATTGGCGATCAAAAAAAATTTAGTCGCCAAAAGTTATGGAATTGGCAACTAAATTTTTTTTAAGTTGCCAAAAGTAAAATATTTAGCTACTAATTTTTTTTAGCCGGGGTATATTCATTATTTGCGACTAAAAAAAAAATTAGTCCCTAAAAATGCAAGAATTGGCGACAAAAAAAAATAGTCGCTGTATATTGACTTTTGGGTACTAAAATATTTAGCCACCGATTGGAAAATAAAAAAATTATTTTTTCTCTTTAGTTGCCAAAAACTTACTTTCAGCGACAAAAAAAAATTTAGTCGTCGTATATTGATTTTTGGCTACTCAAATATTTAGTCCTCAAATGGAAAATAAAAAAATTATTTTTTTCTCTTTAGTCGCCAAAAACTTACTTTCAGCGACAAAAAAAAATTAAGTCATTGTATATTGATTTTTGGCTACTAAAATCATTTAGTGGCCAAATAGATATAAATAAATACTTTTTTTTTATCTTTGGCAACCAAAAATTTGATCGCCAAAAACTTACTTTTAGCGACAAAAATAAATTTTAGTCGCCAAAAAATAAAATATTTGGAGGGATTTTTCAAATTTTGGAATGTTTTATAAATTAATTGGCGACTAAATTTTAGTCGCTAATGGTGTAATATATATATTTACTTGGTTTCCAAACAACAAACCAGCACCTGTGTGTGTGTGTGTCTCTCTCTCTATTCGGCGTTTCTTTCTCTCTCTCTCTCTCTCTCTCTCTCTCTCTTTCTCGCCCTCTGCCTCTCCCTCTTCGTTGCTCCTCTCCCCTCCCTCTCTCACCGCCGCTCCCCCAGCCGCGCCTCCACCAATCCTCTTCGTGGTCACGGGCAACCGGACCACCGATTCACCTAGATTTGCCCTATTTTCTCTCTCTAAAATCTCTCTATATTCGTATATCTGTCTATCCATCAACGGCGAGACCAATGTATGTATATATATATGTGTGTGTGTGTGTGTGTGTGTGTGTGGATTTGTATGTGATTGTTAGGGTTTTGGAGATGTAGGGAAGGTTGAATGATAGAAGAGAAATTGCGGTGAAGAAGCTGTCGCAGAGCTCGAATCAGGGGAAAAATGAGTTCAAGAACGAGGCCAAGCTGTTGGCTTGCATGTAGCACCGCAATGTTGTCAATTTGTTGGGGTATTGTGCGCACGGTGCGGAGAAGTTGCTTGTGTATGAGTACATAGCTAATGAGAGCTTGGACAAGCTTCTCTTTAGTAAGTCCTCTTCTGCTTTGATCTTTTTTTGGATGCAACACTCAGTTCTTATTTTTGTAGAGTTGAAATTGGGACACCAAAATTGAATTTATGGTCGTTATAGTACCAATTAGTGACGAGTTTATTGAATTTTAGCTGTCATGGTTAGCTGCCAATTGAATAAACAGGTACTAGGTAGATGTATTGAAATTTAAGATATTGAATATGGTATGTTTCATCTTTGTAAATGGAAGTTCTTCATTAAATTGTTGATGGTGTCATAGTACCACTCTGTGTTGCACTTTGCTAGACCTAGGGTGGTCTCAACTGCTTTATTCATATTCTCTGCATCTTGAAAAGAATCAAATCTGCTGCTATGAGTATTTTCAGGAATCAAATCATCTTGAAGTAGTATGCTCACCAAGTGTATGTAAAAATGTCATAGAGAGGTTTTGAGGACTGGTTTCCACTTACTTTAGTTTAGATATTGGGTCATTTATATATAAAGCTTCTCAGGCTTTATAATTTTCCTGTGTGCTGATCCAAGTGTTTCTTTTTAATCCTTATTGAGTTGTTGCTTGAATTAATTGTTGCGTGAGTTTTGAAATTTGACTTTACAGTTCTAACTTTGGATGGTTCTTTGTGAATTGTAAACAATGCCATCTAGAAGTCTTTTTCTTTGACACCTTATCTCTGACCTATTTTCTTACCTTGTCTCTAAAATTCCATCTATAAGTTTCTAAAATTCCATTGAACTTTTACTGTGTTTTCAACCTTTATCTATGTATATGTTTGGTAAGGTAGGGAATGAAAGATGATTGATGACTGTAATTGGAAATGGGAAAAACAGATAAGAGGAAGTGTGACATGAAAAAAATTATTTTTTCCCTTTGGCGACTAAAGTTTTAGTCGCCAAAAACTTACTTTCAGCGACAAAAAAAAAATTTAGTCGTCGTATATTGATTTTTGGCTACTCAAATATTTAGTCCTCAAATGGAAAATAAAAAAATTATTTTTTTCTCTTTAGTCGCCAAAAACTTACTTTCAGGGACAAAAAAAAATTAAGTCGTTGTATATTGATTTTTGGCTACTAAAATCATTTAGTGGCCAAATAGAAATAAATAAATACTTTTTTATCTTTGGCGACCAAAAATTTGATCGCCAAAAACTTACTTTTAGCGACAAAAATAAATTGTAGTCGCCAAAAAATAAAATATTTGGAAGGATTTTTCAAATTTTGGAGGGTTTTATAAATTAATTGGCGACTAAATTTTAGTCTAACGGTGTAATATATATATTTACTTGGTTTCCAAACCACAAACCAGCGCCTGTCTCTCTCTCTCTCTCTCACTCACGCTCTCTCTCTCACCCTCTCTCCCTCTGCCTCTCCCTCTTCGTTGCTCCTCTCCCCTCCCTCTCTCACCGCCACTCGACCAGCCGCGCCTCCGCCACTCCTCTTCGTGGTCACGGGTAACTGGACCATCGATTCACCTAGATTTGCCCAATTTTTTCTCTCTAAAATCTCTCTATATTCGTATATCTGTCTATCCATCAACGGCGAGACCAATGTATGTATATATATGTGTGTGTGTGTGGATTTGTATGTGATTGTTAGGGTTTTGGAGATGTAGGGAAGGTTGAATGATAGAAGAGAAATTGTGGTGAAGAAGCTGTCGCAGAGCTCGAATCAGGGGAAAAATGAGTTCAAGAACAAGGCCAAGCTGTTGGCTTGTGTATAGCACCGCAATGTTGTCAATTTGTTGGGGTATTGTGCGCACAGTGCGGAGAAGTTGCTTGTGTATGAGTACATAACTAATGAGAGCTTGGAAAGCTTCTCTTTAGTAAGTCCTCTTCTGCTTTGATCTTTTTTTGGATGCAACACTCAGTTCTTATTTTTGTAGAGTTGAAATTGGGACACCAAAATTGAATTTATGGTCGTTATAGTACCAATTAGTGACGAGTTTATTGAATTTTAGCTGTCATGGTTAGCAGCCAATTGAATAAACAGGTACTAGGTAGATGTATTGAAATTTAAGATAATGAATATGGTATGTTTCATCTTTGTAAATGGAAGTTCTTCATTAAATTGTTGATGGTGTCATAGTACCACTCTGTGTTGCACTATGCTAGACCTAGGGTGGTCTCAACTGCTTCATTCATATTCTCTGCATCTTGAAAAGAATCAAATCTGCTGCTATGAGTATTTTCAAGAATCAAATCATCTTGAAGTAGTATGCTCACCAAGTGTATGTAAAAATGTCATAGAGAGGTTTTGAGGACTGGTTTCCACGTACTTTAGTTTAGATATTGGGTCATTTATATATAAAGCTTCTCAGGCTTTATAATTTTCCTGTGTGTTGATCCAAGTGTTTCTTTTTAATCCTTATTGAGTTGTTGCTTGAATTAATTGGTGCGTGAGTTTTGAAATTTGACTTTACAGTTCTAACTTTGGATGGTTCTTTGTGAATTGTAAACAATGCCATGTATAAGTCTCTTTCTTTGACAGCTTATCTCTGACCTATTTTCTTACCTTGTCTCTAAAATTCCATTGAACTTTTACTGTGTTTTAAGCCTTTTGCTATATGACTTTTTGTGTTTTAAACCTTTATCTGTGTATATGTTTGGTAAGGTAAGGAATGAAAATGATTGATGACTGTAATTGGAAATGGGAAAAACAGATAAAAGGAAGTGTGACATGCTTTACACTGTTGACTATTTAGGATTCTATTAGTCAGATGCTTTGGAAGGTTTCCTTGTGCCATTATCTGAGGGATTTTGAAATGTAGGAATTTGGATTTCAGTTATGACTCATTGATAGATGTAGCAAAGTGTAAACTACTTTCTTTTGTGAGGTTCAGAAAGCATTTTGTACAAAGTAAAGAAAGAACAAAGGGTTGAGGTGTCTTGCATTGTTGGAACAAGTATATTTGCACTTCTTTATATAGGATTTTATGGAATCAAACACCAGTAGGTTACTTAATGGTTAATTAAGAGGTAAGTTACCCATTAAGTTGCAAGTAGCTCAGTAGTAGTAGACAAATAGCTCACTACTAGCAACTTAACGAGGAGATTACCTTAGAGCTAAGTAATTGAATTACCAAGATGCCCAAAGCATATATATATAACTTTTTATAAAATTTTCAAATCCATTAAGCATCATGGTTGAACCAGTTTTTAAAGTGGAGTAAATCTTCAGAAAATAGATAAGCTAGGCTGTGGTCTGGTTTCCTTTGTCATACTTTTGTACCTCTATGGTCATGGTTCCTTTGTTAGATGCATTGATGGTGATGATCTCATGACATGAAATTCCATCTCCATTGTTATCTTGATCCATTGTTTGCTTAGCTAGTGTTGTTTGGTTGTTTGCTTATCTTGAAATTCCATCTCCATTTTCACTCCTTGAATGTAATAAGTGAGTCCCGAGCAAACTATGCCCTGCATATATACATTTTAAAACAAAGAGCTGTAGAATATTACCATATTTGGCAAAAGCTGGTTCTCTTATGTCATGAGAACAAATCCTTTATTTTACATCCTTGTGTATAGTAGTTTCAGAATTTTTTTTTTCTAGAAAGGTCTAATTCATGTTGTAGTTTTGTGAAGAAATATCAATTCATATTGAAGTGAACAGAAGCTTTGATGGGACTGCTATGACTTAGGGGCCTCTAGAAGGGAGTCGGGTTGATTTAGAGAATATGGCTACGATGAAGTTAGGATTTAGTGAAAAACAGTCATTAATGTAATGCATATATTTGATTTTCTTATCCTTGGTTAACATTAAGAAAGAAAATTTTGTTTTCCCATTTAGTCTCCTTACACTGTAAACAGCTATCAGGAGTTTGGTATCCCAGCTTAGAGACCAGACACTAGCGTTTCCTCTCTCCATTATAAGCGCCACTATGGCCCCCTGAGCTGCTCCTAATAGGCATATCCAAGCAGTGAGGGAGAGCTTAGTGGGATATGTCTTTAGCGTGATTACTTAGAGAAACAGAAACAAATGTAATTATGATCTCAGATAAAAATTAATTGTTCATATCAAAACAGCCCCCGAACCGCCATGTTGCTCATACGAACAGTTTTCCCATGACAAATAGGACTTGTGAGAACTAACGGAATGTAATTCGGACCCGTAAGTAGGGAGTTAGAGCCGAAAACGCCTTACACTTAGTTGAAAAAGAGCGTTTTGGGGGTAAAAATTCAAAACAGCCCCCGAACCACCGTGTGACTCATACAGACAGTTTTCCCATGACAAATAGGACTTGTGAGAACTGACGGAATGTAATTCGGACCCGTAAGTAGGGAGTTAGAACTGAATACACCCTAAACTTAGTCGAAAAAGAGCGTTTCGGGGGCAAAAATTCAAAACAGCCCTCGAACCATTGTGTGACTCACACAGACAGTTTCCCCATGACAAATAGGACTTCTGAGAATTGACGGAATGTAATTCGGACCTGTAAGTATGGAGTTAGAGCCGAAAACGCCCTAAACTTAGACAAAAAAGAGCGTTTTGATGGCAAAAATTCATAAGAGCCCCCGAACCAATTGTGAGTCACATGGACAGGTTCCCCATGACAAATAGGACCTGCGAGAATTGATGAAATGTAATTCGGACCCATATGTAGGGAGTTAGAGCCGAATATGCCATAAACTAAGTTGAAAAAGAGCATTTCGGGAGCGAAAATTCATAACAACCCCCGAACCACTATGTGAGTCACACGAACAGGTTCCCCATGACAAATAGGACTTGTGAGAACTGACGGAATGTAATTCGGATCTGTAGGTAGGGAGTTAGAGTCGAATACGTCCTAAACTTAGTCAAAAAAGGACGTTTCGGGGGGCAAAAATTCAAAACAGTCCCTGAACCGCCATGTAGCTGACACGAAAAGATTCCCCATGCTAAATATGACTTGTAACAACTGACGGAATGTTATTCGGACCCGTAGGTTGGGATTTAGAGTCGAATACGCTCAAAACTTAGTCGAAAAAGGGTGTTTCGGGGCTGAAAATTCAAAACAGTCCTTGAACCGCCATGTGGCCGACACAAACAGCTTCCCCATGCCAAATATGACTTGTGACAACTGACGAAATGTTATTCGGACCCATAGGTTGGGATTTAGGGCCAAATACGCCCAAAACTTAGTCAAAAAAGGGCGTTTCGAGGGCGAAAATTCAAAACATCTCCCAAACCACTGTGTAGCTCACACGGATAGTCTTTTTATGACAAATAGGACTTGTGAAAACTGACGGAAAGTAATTCAGACCCGTAGGCTTGGAGTTTGAATCGAATACATGCAAAACTTAGTTGAAAAAGGGCATTTCGGGGGCAAAAATTCAAAACAGCCCCCGAACCGTCGTGTGGCTGACATGGGCAGATTCCCCATGCCAATTATGACTTGTGACAACTGACGGAATGTTATTCGGACCCGTAGGTTGGGATTTAAAGCCGAATACGCCCAAAACTTAGTCGAAAAAGGGCGTTTCAGGGCTGAAAATTCAAAACAGCCCTTGAACCGCAATGTGGCTGACACAAACAACTTCCCCATGCCAAATATGACTTGTGACAACTGACGGAATGTTATTCGGACTCATAGGTTGGGATTTAGAGCCGAATACGCCCAAAACTTAGTCAAAAAACGGCGTTTCGGGGGCAAAAATTCAAAATAGCCCTCGAACCACCGTGTGGCTGACACGGGTAGCTTTCCTATATGACTTGTGACAACTGACGGAATGTTATTCGGACCCGTAGGTTGGGAGTTAGAGCCGAATACGCCCAAAACTTAGTCGAAAAAAGGCGTTTCAGGGGCGAAAATTCAAAACAGCCCCCGAACTGCCGTGTGGTTGACACGAGTAGCTTCCCCATGCCAAATATGACTTCTGACAACTGACGGAATATTATTCGGACCTGTAGGTTGGGAGTTAGAGCCGAATACGCCCAAAGCTTAGTCGAAAAAGGGCGTTTTGGGGCCGAAAATTCAAAACAGCCCCCGAACTATCGTATGGCTCACGTAGATAGTTTTCCCATGACAAATAGGGCTTTGTGAGAACTGTCGGAATGTAATTCGGACCCATAGGCTTGGAGTTTGACCCGAATATGCACAAAACTTAGTCGAAAAAGGGCGTTTTGGGGGCGAAACTTCAAAACAGCCGCCGAACCTGTGTGTGACTCTCACGGGCAGCTTCCTCATGACAAATAGGACTTGTGACAATTGACAGAATGTATTGGAGATGTATAGTAATGGAAAATTACGGGAAAAATATTCAGAAACCAATATTAACTCAGTTTACGCCTTGTTATATTATATTAATTTCTTGAACATACACAAGTGTGTTATATTATATTTAAGCTTCCATACAAGTATCAAACTGTGAATGGTGTTTCTGAGGCCATGTGCTTCATAAGATATCAAGTATTCTTTCTTTGATGAACCATTTATAGGTGTCTCTACATACATTTCTACATATTTCCTTTTATGATTGAACTTTATTTTTGTTATTATTTTTCTCACATGCTCTAATATCTTGAATGAAATGGCACTGATAGACATTAATACGTAGGGATGGTTTTATGTCCAATCTAATGATTCAAGTGCCTTTTGCAAACAAATAATGAGGAAGTTGGTAAAAAGAATACTTTCTATTCACATTGGGTTGTGATATTGGTTTAGCCACAGAATTTGGATGCATGTTGCATACAAATAGAAGATTGTTACATGAGTTTTATGTTAGTAATGAAAGATTTAGTAATGATTGTTCTACATTTAACAATTTTCCTTATAACAAAAGACTTTAGAAAGATTGTAGAAAGACTGATAATTGATTCATCATGGGAGGTTGCTTCTTTGATATGTTATTTGTCACTTGTTGCCAAATTGATTCATGAAATTGGGCATTTTTGGGACCAATTCTAATGTTTTTTTTTTTGTTTTTTGTAGATGACTTTGTTACGTGGACTTTCAGAGAAATATTTTGGTGTATAGAGACGAAATTGTACTTTTGTATAGAAGTAATATAATAACTTTGTCATCCCCGACTTTTGTGCAGTTAACTATTACTGATATAGAAAAATTTTGGCAGCCAACAGATAATTACTGGCATGGTACATAGATCACCTTTTGTCGCCGTACATATATATGATTGTTTGTCGTGGTACATAGATGTACTTTTGTCTTGGTACATACATCACCTTTGGTCGTGGTACAGATTACGATGTTAATTTGTACCATGCCAAATGGTCATTTCACATGGTAGTAAATGTAATTTATGTATATGGAGGGCTTTGTTTTTTGTATGATTCTATATTTTGTATGGAATTATTATTTTAGTTTGGACAATAGTTGGTTTGTATGTACTTGGACAGTTAAAGTTATTTATTTTTTGTATACGGATGCAGATTGTGGAATGATTGATAGTTTATGTATCATTTTATTTATATACGTATTACAGGTTGCATGGAATACAGACAGGTTATGGACACATTACAATATTTGTAATAAAACATAATAGCATGTTTTTGCCGACTAAACGTTTTCTAGCAAAAAAAAAAAAAGATTCCAACATTCAAAAGAAAATCAAACATTTGGCTACTAAAAGTTTTGTAGCCAAAAGAAAATCAAACATTTGGCAACTAAAATATTTTGTAGCTAAAAATAAAAGCTGATGAATAAAAACACTTTTGCCAACTAAAATTGTAGTAGCCAAAAATGTGGGAGTTTAGGCGACTAAATTTTTAGTAGCCAAAACAAATACTATTTGCCGACTAAAATTTTAGTAGCCAAAAAAGTTTGACTTTAGGCGACTAAAATTTTAGTAGCCAAAACATTAGTATTTACTTTAGGTGACTAATAAATTTAGTAGCTAAAAACTTTTTCTGCGACTAAATCTTTGGTCCTTAACAATAATTGAGGCTTTTGGCGACAAAAAAATTAGTCGGCGAAAACGTATTATTTAATTAATTTTCCAACCTTTTGGCGACTAAATATTTAGTTGGCAAATGAATACATTTGGCGAGTGAAATAAGTTTAGTCGCCAATTAGCTTTCCCGACTACTCTTTGGCTACTAATTTTGCGACCAAAAAATTTAGTCGGTAAAGCCCATCGGCGACTAAAAATTGACTTTTGGCGACTAAAAATTTAGTTACTAAAAGTGAAAATTCTTGTAGTGAAACAAGTATATTTTCTAAATTCAATTATGTGTATGTAAGGTGATTGATTAATGATTACAGATATAGAAAAAAATTACTTTAAATACTCTAACAAATTATCACATAACTAAGTTTAAAAAATATATTGAATTTTTACATTAAAATAACACAATTTTTTTATTAATAATATTCAAATATACAAGACACTTGTTTACTACAATAATACATTGATTTGTTTTGAGTATGACTTATTTTTGAATTTTTTTATTTATTACGTAAAGACATAAAAAATAGAAGGTGATGTGACCTAAATAAGTTAATAAGCCAATAAGTTACTTATTTTATGCATACCAAAAACAGAGAAGTTATTGGTAGGTTTTCGGATACCGTCTCATGGTGCCCAACGGTATTGTGATTGGTGGAGACGGTGGAACTCACAAATTTATATTGGGGAATTGGAAAACATAAGAGAATATGATGAATTGTGAGAGGAATAATTACATGATGTACCTAGACCAACCAATAATTTTTTTCAAAACAACCCATTCGTTTGAAAAATTATGTAGTGGTCTTGAGGCATTACCACATGGTGCCCCAACTCAATATGATTGGTCGAAATTATGAAATCCAATACTTTTTGTTAGGTTAATAGGTGACAACCTGACAAGTGTCAAGTGTCTAGTAGTGTGGAGCAATACTCCTAGACTACTCAACAAAGTAATGCTAGAGGCTCCAAATGTTTTACTAAATGTGTCACATGGGTGTAAGACCCACACCATGTGAGTCCCATGTGAGTCTCACACCCATGTGAGATATTTGATAAAACATTTGGGGTCTCTGGCATTTTTCCTACTCAATAACCTCTCGTTATGTTCATATTCAGTATTGCACCTTTCAAAATAAATTGAATACTATTCAACCACCTCCGTTTTGATAAATCATTGGTTGGTTCGAGTGCGTCAAGTGACTATATCCTCCACCAATTACAATTTATCATGTCTTTTCATATTTCTCAATCACTCAAAACAAATTTATTCATAAACTCCATCTTATCTCTTTCACCAATTACAATACCATTGAAACCACACATAGCGGTACCCCAAAACCAATCAATAACTTCTAGTTGGTTTTGAAGCATTATTGTTGATAGCATAATGTATTAATTCATCCAAATAGTCAACAAATATCAACATTTACCCAAGAAGTCAACCAAATTGCACTATGAAATATATATGTGTATATATATATATTAGTGTATCCCCGTACTTAAAAGACACGGTATAAATAATATTAGAATCAAAATATAGTTGTAATTTATACGTATTATGTTGAAATTTATGAAGTTTGTAATATTTTTTTGATAGAGATGCTGAAAAAATATAAAGAAATATTATTTTTCTTAAACTTGTATATATTATTCTTCTTAAAAATTATAAAGAAATTTTACTAGTGTAAATTTACGATGACCCTCCGTTTGCAGTTGAATTACCCAGGTTGGGAAAGCTCACTAGTCGCGATGTTCCCACTTTCATGCTTTCTTGTAATACATTTAGTGCTGGATTACCAGCATTTAAAGAACAGATAGATGCACTTGATGTAGAAGTTAACCCGAAAATACTACTCAACACATTTGATGCATTGGAATCCAAGGCATTAAGGGCTATTGGGAAGCACAACTTGATTGCAATAGGTGCGCTAGTTCCCATTAGCATTTTTAGATGGAAAAGATCCGTCTGATAATGCTTTTGGGGGCGACCTATTACAAAAATCGAGGGATTATGTAGAGCGGTTGTATTGGAATCCCTAATCGTCAATCGGGTACATTTCGTTTGGAAGCTTCTTTAATTTGCCATTGCAAGAAATGGAAGAGATTGCACGTGGGTTGCTGGAAAGCTATCAGCCATTCTTGTGGGTGTTAAGAGCTTTGGCAGATGGTGAGAAACAAGAAGATAAACTAAGTTGCAAAGAAAAATTGGAAAAACAAGGTTTGATAGTGCCATGGTGTTCCCAAATGGAGGTTCTTTCACACCCTTCCGTGGGATGTTTCGTGACTCATTGTGGGTGGAATTTTACATTGGAGAGTTTGGTTTTGGGCATTCCAAAACTAGGATTTTATTATCATATACAGAACAATAATTTTTTTCATCTTGGAAGCTTCTTTAATTTGCCATTGTAAGAAATGGAAGAGATTGCACGTGGGTTGCTGGAAGGCTATCAGCCATTCTTGTGGGTGTTAAGAGCTTTGGCAAATGGTGAAAAACAAGAAGATAAACTAAGTTGCAAAGAAAAATTGGAAAAACAAGGTTTGATAGTGCCATGGTGTTCCCAAATGGAAGTTCTTTCACACCCTTCAGTGGGATGTTTCGTGACTCATTGTGGGTGGAATTTTACATTGGAGAGTTTGGTTTTGGGCATTCCGAAACTAGGATTTTATTATCATATACAAAACAATAATTTTTTTCATCATATACACAAATACACGTATATAGAATATGATATATAAATTGCATATATATAAAAATTAAAAAAAAATTATATACCATAGAAGAAATCTCTAATATGATGAATAAGTTTTTTTTGTGCAAAATAGAAAGAGAATATAAGATGGGAGAAGAATGGAATATGCATTTTTTATACTGGAGAGCTATTTTACGTATAAAATGGTATATATTTTTAAAGTGCTATGATAAATAATATTTTTCCCAGAAACAATGGGGCCATGGCCCCCTATAGTCTTCTCCTAGTTCCGTCTTTGCCGGTCGTGTGTTTATCGTAATTTACAGACCAACGAACAAATGCGAAGCTTTTAAAAGACGGATTCAAGACCAGGGTAAGGGCAACGAAGAATAATGAAGGAATAGTTGAAGGTGATGAGATCAAGAGGTGCATTGAATTGGTTATGGGAGATGGAGAGATTGGAGAAGAAATAGGGAAGAATGCTAAAAAAATGGAAGTATTTGGCAAAGGAAGTTGCGAAGGAAGGTGGAGCGTCTCACAAGAATCTTACGGCTTTTGTGGATGAGATTGAAGATGGTTTTTAGTTGGATTAACATTTTCATCTTAACAATTGTATTTGTGTGTAAGATTTCTTCATGTGTGATTCCATATATATATTGTGCGAGTGATTTTCTAGCCACACTGCCCGTTTAGTAACCAGCTGGAGAGCACCGGCAGAATAGATGGCACCTGGCTGACCTGCAACAGAAAAAGATGATTCTGGCGGTGGTTCGTCCACCCGGGGGCACTCCGACGATCAAGTCAGTATATCTCTCAAAGATAAATCAAGTGCTAAACTCACAAGTTTGAGTATCAAAAGCATACCTTTGACCCATGGAGGTGCCTCTCTTTTATAGCCAACATAAACCTAGTCCCAATAGAAGCCTAACTTCTATGGACTCCGGATTACTGCTAATCTTGGACTCACAGTAAGATTAGGATAAACTCTCTAAGAGTCTTATCTTAATACAAACTGAAGTCTTCTCTCATTCTAGGACTCTTGTCCCTCATCCAGGTTGAGTTCCCTTTTCATTCTAGGACTCTTGTCCCTTATCCACGTATCTCGGATTCCGATATCTTTGGAGATAACCTCGGCCTTGCCGAGATCACCTCGGCGTCACGACCAGGACACGTGGCACCTCAGCTGACACGTCGGCGCCACGTGTTGGTACTCAGAAAATATATTCCCACGACTGCCCCCTAGGTTCTATTACCTCGGTATTCTGAGGTGATGGAACCTACACTGTTCGTTCATCTGTGCCCCTCTGTCCGAGATCAAACTCGCCGACCTCAAAGTTCCCTGGACTTTACTGTCCACTGGTGTCAAGAATCAAGTTCATGCTTTCCAAGCTGCTTGAAATCGCACCTCCTAGCCGAGGTTCTGGTTCCATTAATTCGTAAACTCCAAGAGCTTTGCAACTGCTCCACTCACACTCCCTGGTGAGTTCCCGATTTCCAGTCATCTATTTGACTCCGGTGATTTTCATATCGGCGTTCATTTCACTTGGTAGGTTCATAAACTCTTTACTTGCTATTAAGCTCAATCTTTCATAACTCTTCTAAATCTGTTTACTTGCCATCTGTTGCATTCTATTTTCGTATGTCTTCAAGTTTTGAATTGTTTGAATGCCTGGCACTGTTCTTGTCATACCCGCTTTTTGTTGCTAGCATCGTGTCTGGGTCATTACTTTCTTATTCTTCACATACTTACTTAGTGCCTGTGCACTTGGCTTTATTCTTGAACTTTGTCGTCTTCTTGACTATT